ACAGAGTCTTACTCTCTGGACGACTTACATGTAAGTCGTCCAGAGAGTAAGCCTTCGTAGAAGGCTTCCAGGAAGTGAGAAGACTACTATGACGACTTCCTGGAAGTCTTCTACAGAGTCTTACTCTCTGGACGACTTACATGTAAGTCGTCCAGAGAGTAAGACTTCGTAGAAGGCTTCCAGGAAGTGAGAAGACTACGATGACGAGTTACAGTCGGAGAAGATTTAGACGGAGAAGATGTGAAAAGAAGAGTTGTCCCTAGCGGTTACAGATCTGCATAACGAAGGGAAAAGAAGAGTCAAGACTAAAATTTTTAGGGTTTTCCGGCGGCTAAACGCCTTAAAACATAAGATATAACATACCGGCGGCGAAGGAAAGGCTACGAGATTTCAGATCTGAAAAAAAAAAGGAAGGGGATGGTCAGTTTAAACTACGAAAATACTCTAAGCCATGAAAGAAAAACAAGATTCGTCGAAATCGGAGAGATTACCGGCGAAAATGGAGAGATTCGTCGAAATCGGAGAGATTCGTCGAAATCGCCTTTACAATCGTCCTTGGAGAGAAACGGCGCTAGGGTTTCGGAAAATTGTGAAAAAGTGAAAAAAAATAGCTTTTATATGCCCGGTAAAAATCCGGTTAGGTTAAAACGTAAAATGTTAAAATTAACGGTTCGGTACAATTAGACGACTGAACTTTCAGTCGTCTGGGAAATAATTTAAAGCAGAAGACTGAAATTTCAGTCGTCTAATCCCTAAACATAACCCCTAAATTTTATTCTCTAATTAAACACTTCGAAACATTAAATTAAACTTGAAAAATGTTTACTATACACAGAAATAAACACATAAAGGTCAAATTAATTTTTTTAAAAAAGCATTTCATCTTTTCAAAATCTAACCCTAAGATTACATACAATACTACAACATATGTTTGCCAAACCCTTAAACCAAAGAATATCATGATTCACTACTTCCACTCATCTATGCTGAAAACAAATCAATTTTATCATTTCTTAATTTATATCACTTATAAATGTTTATAATTACATGTTTTTAATTTTTCACTCATGAAAANGACTGAAAAGTAACTCAGCCCGACTCAGACAACTTACTGGGGTTATATTCGTAAAAATGTCTTCTGTTTTTTTGTTTGGTCACAGAGGACTATATTGTAATTTCATAGCCCTTTTAGGTTAGATTTGCATTTGATTCAAGTTGGGGTCTAGTATTGGGGTTAAAACCAAGTTGTGGGTTAGTTTTGGCAAAAACCCCTAGAAAAAAACTATCTAAGAATATAATTTTAAATATATATACATATATATTCTTAAATCTAATTTAAAATTAACAAAATTATTTTATCTTAATTTAATGTTTAACTAAATCAAACCTATATTTAATTGGTAATAAAATAGTAAAATTTATAATAGTAATAAAATTTATTATTAAATATAATTTAAACTTACAATATTTCTCGCACACCTAATTTCTCTTTAACTTAATATAGTAGATAATGTGAATAGTACGTACTTCATAATAAAAATAAAAGAGTTTTCAAATTTATAAACGTTTTAAACTCATATAAAAAATAAAATTTCACAAACATTTAAAAAGTGGATAAATTGAGAATACGTGTCATAGCAGAGAACCAAGATGGTGCTGAGAAGAAAGGATATACCCAAAGTTTAAACCAGAACCAGAGGTCCAGAGCATAGGCTGAACCATAATGCCACTGTTTAGTTTGCAAATTTTAGACGAGAATTCCAAACTAAACTGTGTCTCTAGAGAGAATGCTACACAAAAAAAAAATTATTTGGTCAACTGGTTACTCCATCGTTGAACAAAATGGGGTTTGCAAAAGTCTCTGATTCCATTTCTTGATCCAGTTTCATTCACCCTAAAGTTGATCATGAGTTGAGGATTTTGTTGATTCCAGATATCTTCTCCCCTGTTTGTTCCAACATGACATTATCAGAGACCAATAACCAAAGTCAACAACCAACAAATTAAAAAAGACAGATTACGTACGTAACACGTCAACTTCATGCAGCGAAGCTACTAGGTTATCTTCCTTTTTCTTCATCTCAGACCTGAACTGTTGTACACTGTTTAAAGTGTTTACAATGCTCTGTTCCTTTGTCTCGAGCTCAGAGCGAAATTGTCTAACACAGGTTAACATGTCAACAATACTCTGTTCCTTTGTTTCGACCTCAGAGCGAAACCGTCTTACACTGGTTATAGTGTCTGCGATGCTCTGTTTGACCTTACCCAACTGATGTGTGATAGAGCAAGTTTGAGAGTCTCCCAGCTCAGGAGCGGATTTTTGATTTAAGCAAGAGGGTTCCTCTTCTCCAGCTGGCTTCACCATCTCACCATGAGCTATATGGAGGCTGTGGCTTTGGACTCGAGCTCGCTTGTGTGCCGGAGTCTCAGCTTCTGCAAGATCCTCTTCATGAGGAACTGAGAGGTTCAGTCTCCTCTTAGCTGCACCTGTTTGCTCACGGTTAGAAACTTTTGCAGCCTTCTGTTTATCCTAATGATTATGAAACCAAAGTGACAATTAACAATTTACTCCCAACATCAAGAAGAAAGAAACAGAACAGAAAAGCCAGGCACAAGTGATATGCATGCCCCCACCTTTGATGATTTTGATGCATCCACAAGAAACCAGTTATGTTTTTTTAAATATAAAGTTTCTTGATCTCCATCCTCATAGACAACCTGAACCATATGAAAAAAATAACGTGTACCACTTAAATGGACATTTCAATAGGCTAATAGTTAGCCACAAACATATAAGAAGAACCAAGATACAATTTAGCCTTACCGTATGTCTCATTCTCGAAGGATCATATGAAGTAACTTCGCCTTTATAATACCTGCAGTAAAAATGCAATAGCTCAATTACAATATAAAATGCAACCATCCGAGGTCCTAATCCAGATTCAGCCTTTTATAAAAATGCACATAGCAGAGAGAAAACAATGTTCTAGAGCATCCCCATCAGTGAACCTGATGGGAGGGGTTCATAGAAAAAAAATTATTTTTTCTTTTTTTGTTTGTTTGTTTTTCCTAAATAAAAAAATAATAAAAAAAATTAATAACGGATCAATCTCGGAACGCCACGTGGCGAACCCTGTGTGAACCGGGTTCATCCCGACGAACCTCCAAGACCCGGTTTCACCAAAATCAGCATATTTTATTTTATTTTTTTCTTGATCCGCGTGTGAACCTCCCCCGTGAACCTCCAATGCGGATGCTCTTACCTTTTATCAAGAGGCCACCAGACTCTGATTCTTGATCCAACTAAAGTTTTATCATACTTTCGGTCATCAAATGCCTGCCATGGAATTGGCTCAGAACGAAGGAATTCAGAAATAACTCGATCAGAGCACATGAAAGTAATGCGGATAGAGGAAAAAAAAGAAGAAGATACATAAGCATCACAGAAAGTAACATGCATAATGATAAGAGGCAAGAGGTGAAAGTATTGGAACATACTTTCTCTGTATCTAGGCTGTGCTTCCTCTTTGCGTTTGTATTAGCAAGAGTTTTCTCTGATGGTTGCTTCACTTCTGTCTTTGACTTTGAGGATGACTTTCCAGAGGAAAAGATTGTCTGAAACATAATTAAAGTACACTCGTAACAGCACAAGGACAGGGAAGACAACCATGAAAATTACTTAATACAGGTCAGGGAACATCTTACCTTTTTGTTATCACCCAAAGAAGTGGGTTTCTCTGACTTCTTCGTTGCTTTTATGTCAGAGGTGCTTCTCTTTGTAGGAGGAGCAGTAGGCTTGGCATTACTAGCAGAAGCTATCTTATTTCCAGACTCCTTTGTCAATTTAGCTTCGAACGTATTTATTTCTTGAGAAGCACTAGCAGCATATGGTTTGGCCTCCATCGAGCTTTCCTTTTGCTTCTGGTTCACAGGACGACCAGTTTTCTCATTATCAAGTTGTTGAGACCCATCTACCCAATTCATATCATCTTTCTTCTTTGGTTTATCCTGTGGATTAGAAAAATACTTAAAAAAATCATGTAAAAACAACTGAACATATAAAACCAATTCCACAGATAAACAGGTAAGAGCTTACTACTTCAACTTTGATCAGCTTCGAAACACTGAATGCACCTTCACATATTAAAGCCACCACATTACTATACTTATCTAAAGAAACCCCTGATGATTTCACTGCTTCAGCTAGATATGTTTCGCACTTGTTAGAACAGTTTATCAGAACATTTTCTGCTAACCTCCGTGATATTGGGAGAACCTAAGGGCAAGAAGTAGAAAGAGTTAAGCAAAAGAGCATTGTCTGCTGAAATAACAGAAAGGCTAGCAGCCTATTCGTGCATCACCTCATCAGTCTTTTCAACATAGTGCAGAATTGGTGCAAGCAACTTTGAAGGTATATCATCACTTTCTTTTAAAACATGGGTCATAATGTTCTCCATATCTGAAAAGACTTCCACTGGATGATGATCCCTGGAAAGGAAATATAACTTCACCATCAGCCATACGCATCACTCAATAGACCAGTTATTACGAACACATGCAGCTATATAGAAGCAAGCCATAAAGTCCATGGAGACTGGAGAGGCAGAATATAATATTTGAATGAGAAGCTTAAAGATACTATAATAGTTAATTGTCACTAAATAGTTAGTCTAATACGCAAAGTTGTACCAGAAAAATGTCAAGCAGGGAAGAGAAAAATTTGAAGAAAAGCAATTCAGGATTGATATGGAAGACATACAGGTATTAGCATATACCTTATGGCCTTGAGAAAATGGTGGAACATCTCAATACAAGGAGAATCATACACAGGATCCAACATCAGAACAGATACTTCGTACTTAGCCACAGTGTTAAGGATGGAAGTCCTTTTGGTATAGGAGAGACTATCTTTGTCATCTAGATGTTCAAATGATGATACAATTAACTGCAATACATCCTGCCCCCAAATGTTACAAAGAAAAGAAAGCTTTCAGTGACCAAGCTGCATTGCATTACCTTGTACATAAGATAGAAACTAGAAAACAAGAATGTAGTTACCCTCATCTGGTCATCAACATATGGAGCAAACGGAGCATTTATTCTTGTAACCTCAGTGATGCAGGAAACGACAGAGACTCTCACATGGACATTCCAATGCTTGAAGAGTCTCTCATCGACTAATGATTTCTTCAAGGGAGAGAGTGCATTCTGAATCGAGCTAGGAGGTGACTGTTCCACCTCTAACAAGCAGATGAAAAGTTTCTGCAGCAGCAAAGAAAAATAATACCAAAGGAAGGAGCATCAAACTCGAGAACTCAACAAATCAAAGCAGCATCCAACAAATCATGTTTCAAATTACAGTCAGAACATATCCACACACAGAAAAAGACAGTTTCTTTTTTTTTAACTTGATCCTAGTTATAGGAAAGACAAATTCTTCAATGCTATTCTAAAGTTGTGTTCTTGGACGGAAAGAGTATAAAGTTGTGTTCTTCGGATAGAATGTAACAAAGGAGCTCACGTCGAGAAGAAGAAGAAGATTATCAACAGAAGAAGGTGGTGATGGGTAAAGAAGAGCTTTCCCAGCTTCCAGAAGTCGCTTCTCGAGCTCTTTAGGAGAAGTCGACATGAATGCTCCTCCTTGAGTAGATTTATCAAAACCCTAACCTCACGACCGATCTCAGGAACCGGAGAAGAAGGAAGCGACGAGAGTTTCAAACGGCAAGAAGAAAGGTGGAAACTTTCTTTTCTTCTACTCAGTTTTACACCAAGAGAGAAAATGTGGAATTGGTCCTCAGCTTTGTTAAATGTAAAAAAGACTCCACCTTTTCACAACAAGACCTCAATTGTATACATCCATACATTGTGCAGATATTAGAAACGTTTGTAGATTTGTTGGTGAGGCACAAGTGACTTTGATGTTTGTTTTGCAGCTACTATCATTTTCTGTATCACATGCAAGAAAATACTGAATAAACTAAAGGCGTAATGACTACTTTATCACTGTTTATTAAAATATTTGCACAACTTAAAAGATTACTTTATTAAACATAAACTAAAGACCGATGAGCTATTGACATCAGAGATAATCCCCACCACATGAAGAAATAAAGAAGATTCTCCAAGGTAGTCTGTTTCAAGGCTAGGCAACGCCTGATTCTCCTTCTCTACCTCCATCCACCTCGCTCCTATCACCACAAGCCTAACCGTAGTCTTAAGCTGCATCTTCTCATTCATGAAAATCTGGTTCTCTCCAGTCATGTACTTGTAATCAGGCATCTTCAGACAGGAAATGTAAGCGTTGTTCTCGACCGGACCACACCTGAGGAGGACATAGCACCTTGTGTACCACAGCCTCGAGTATCCCTCCTTTGAAGATCTTGAAATATTTCCCGCCTAAAACAACCGGGATCATCAACTCACCTTTGCGCTCTGATTTTTCCCTCCCCGATCTTGTCCAGAGCTGTGACTGCCATGTAGTAGCCAAGCTCTTTGGTTTCTTTCTTTGAAGCAAAATGCCTCTAATAACTGTTTCAGAATAGCTCTCGTCAGCGTAAGACCTTTCGCCTCCATGTTTTCAGCACGAATCATCACGTTCCATGGTAGCTCTACATTTTTCAACCTTCAAAACCAAGTATAAACATTTGTCTTTTCACTCTAATTCATTTAAGAAGAAATAAAAAAAAAAAAAAAAAAGCAAGTAGACAATATATTTGTTGTAGGTTCCTTTCTGAAAACAACATCTAACTTCCGCCAATCATCATTGGCAACTTTAGATCACCACAATTCATCTACAATAAGCAAACCCTTTACTCAGAAAAAGCAGTAATTTCTGCTCAAATTTTTTTGTAGAAAAACAAATCGGATTCAAATAAATATATGCATGCAATAGCAAAATTTCCACCTTTCTACTGTACTCAAACAGAACTGTGGAAACAGGTTTCACATTATGCATCTACCAAGACGAACATCTCAATCTGAATGATAAACTGTGAGGCATTTAAGCAAACAGTACGCAGACATGTAGGAATCCAAAGGTAAAATCTATCCAAGCTTGTATCAAGAGTTAACAATCTGAAAAAGAAAAAAAAAAAATCAAAGCTTCGCACATCGTTGACCAAAGAAGACTGTAAAAATGTCTTTTAGAAATCACGAAATCCTACTCATACCTTGTCTACTCACCGATTCGAGCGAGAGGGAGAGAGAACTAAACTTGTTGTCGTTAGTGTCACAGTCACTATACTCAAGTGACCTTTGTTTCTGAATGTTTCACATGTTGGGCTGAATGGGCTGAATATTCCTTCCCAAGAGACTTTTCATGTCTAACAATATTTTATCATTTATGTCTACTAGAAATTTTACGCAGACATATATCAATATATTTAATTATATAATTCACATATATTACATTCCTTTTATCGTGATTTCAATGTATGTTGGTTATTCTATTCCGGTCTGGATTCCTAGACCACCTCAAGTTTAAATAATAGATCAGCCTTTCGTTGTCAAAAAAATAAAAAAAATTACATTCCTTGTTATGAAAATATAAACTACTGTATATATATTGAACTAGGGGAAGTCCACACTACGCGCGAGATTTGATTTGTAGACTTTTTCTTTTAAATTTAGGCTTGGTTAATTAATATTTTTACAAAATTGGAAATTTTTTACATGATGAGAACCTTCTTTCAAATTTTTATTAGAGCATATACTCATTGGTTATTGTGACCATAAATTGTATGTATATGGTGTGTTTGTTTTGAATTTGTTTATGTAAAAATTTGAAAGTATGTATCTATTAAATTTGATCTTCTCTCTCAAGATAAGCGTTTCATTGCTCAGGCTAGCTAGAATCATGATTTGAATTTCCATTATAACAATGTGTGTTTATTGAGCTTTGGATAGAATTCATTAAAGAACCAAAAGGGTCCTTAGTCATCATCATGCAACTTCTGTAAAACCAAAAAGGGAGAAAGCCAAAAAAAACACATCTGCGGTTATGTGCATAGACCAGTGGCCGAACTACACCTAGGATAGGAGGGGCAGCTGCCTCCTATAAATTTTCCAAATCAATGTATTTTTGTACTGATTTTTTTTAATGTCCCAATTGATATTTCAGAATTATAGCAGTATTAAACTGTATTTTATAGTTCTGCCTTGGATAACAGTTTGGTCTAGATCCACCACTGGTGTAGACGATGGAGTATTGTCTTATGCTTCTGTAGATTTTTATGATCTTGATCGTCGATTTTTTTTTCTTATTTTAATTCTTTTAATTTAAGTTAGAGTGGTATTCTTAGATTGACTGTTTGACAAAATAAAATTGACTGTATGATAAACACTTTTTATGGCTTTGTTTATAGCTGGAATATATTTCGTCAAGAGCCTTTGATCAAAGAGTTTACTAATGATTATCGTGTGTTTTTTAAAGATATACTACCTGAGATTTGTAAATCCAAATTTTCAGCCATAAGATTTATTGTTTAATAATATATATGGTACAATAAGGTTGGTTTGTATGGGAACTGCATATGACAAATTGGTTGCTGTGAAAAAAAAAACAAATTGGTGTGTGTCTCAGTTGTGTGTTTAATTTGATCAGTGTATTTGTTTTTATTAAACGTTTGATATTATATTAGTCTGTCATGTGCGTGTTATGCGGTTAATTTGATGTGAAGGATTCATACACACTTGGTTGATATATGTAACCATGCATAATCTTATGTTTTTTGTTTGTTTTTATTTTGGGTATTTTGAACGTTTAAAAAGGTTTGATATGTTTGTTATGTAAGTTGTCTGATTTGTAATAATGAGTACTCTAGTAAAGATTATGCATTATAATCTATGTATAAACGTTTTAATTGATCTTTTTATGTTTATTTTGGTTGTTAATTGGGGTGTTGATTCTTTTTTTATATATTTTTTGTACATGTCCTTATTGTAATGATGTTTGTATTTTTAATATTGTTTGGGGTCTCAGTGTTTCAGAAGTATGAGTAATGGATAGTGTGTTTTTTTAAGTTGCACTACATATTTGTTTTCACGTTTCTTTATTTTCTTATGGTTTAGGGTTGCCATGAACATTGTTTGTAGACATTTTTTTAGAAATTGGAATAAAATGGAATTTGATTGGATGCATATATTTTTATTTACATTACACCAGCTCTGTGTGGAATTAAGTATTTTATCCTTTTTCGGCAGTCCAGTCTAAGGTTCCATTTTTTTCTGTTTACAACATTTTGTTGGTTTCACACTGTAATGGAACTGTTAGTGTGTTGTTTGAACAGACAACGTGTTCTCCAAGTTACAAATATGTATACCTTGATCATGTGGCTGACCTCTCAATTGATATTATTACAAAACATTACCCACTGTGAAATTTTACAGTTAAGTAAACGTACAATTTTAGCCTATGTAATGGTCCTTATCTTCATGGTGATGTAATTGCTACTACAATCTGACTGTAGAATATCAATTGAGTTAAGTTAGTTTAAGTTAACTATTTGGTGTCTGGTCCAATAAACAAAATAAGATATTACATATAAATTTGAATAAAATACGTAAATATACGTAAACTTAACATATAAATTGATTTGGTTTCAATATTTTGATAGAGAATCAGTAGATATTTCCAAGTATTTTGATGTTCTGAGTATGCTTTAGCTATTTTAGGCATGTAGTACTTTTGATTATTTGTGTATATTTTCAAGTATTTCGAAAATTTAAAAGTATCTTATATATTTTGAATGTTTTTAATATACATTAAATCTAAAAATAATTAACATATTTATATATATTAAATCTATTTCGAATATATTCGAGTATCCGAAATACTTTGGTTCGGATCGGATTCACTTTCTGTTCTTTAGATACCAAAATTTTGAACCCGTTAGGATATTTAATCAATTTGGGTTCAGATTCTATAAAATTGGATTCAGTTTGGGTTTTCGGATTCGGAATTTTTGCCCAGTTCTATATACTGTATAATGTTGAGAATTCTTATTTGTCGGGAAAAAGACCTGATAGTAACAAACATTTATTAGATAGAATAAGATAGTTTTTCGTCAAAAGCAAAAACGAAATATATTATTAACAAAACGTCAAAGCCAAACTACCCTCCATATAAGTATTATGAGTATTTTTTAAAAAACATATTCATATCTACAATATAAACACTCTGAATAAACGTACTATGGATTACTATAAACATAATCATATATACAATGCTGAGAATTCATATTTGCTGGAAAAAACTGACAGTAACCAATATTTATTCGATAGAATAAAATAATTTTTTTCATAGAATAAGATAGTTTTTTTCACCAAAGCAAGAACAGAATATTTAAGTAACAAAAAGTCAAATCCAATCTTGTTCGTCAAGCAAACAGCAAAGGAAAGAAACAAAATAACCGATAAGAATATTTAAGCATTATTGAAAGGGAAAATTGCGTCTTCAACTTCATCTAGCCCACTAAGACCTGCGTGCCTTCTAAACTTGCCTGATATTCCATTGCTCCTGCTACAATCAACAGCTTCCACCTTAGTAGGGACTGAGTTGTCAGCGGGATTGTCATCTCCATTGTCATCGTCTCAGCTCTGAATCAGAACAAAGAGAAACAAATATATTTTCATGCCAAACAAACACTGAGAATGTGTGATATGGTTAAAGGTCTGATCATTCTCTGTGAAACTGTATGAACTCACCCTCACCTGGAACATCTTGCCTTCCATGTCTGTAACAAACGGAGGGGCCTGGGTCTCCTCGGGATTGACACCATCAACAGCATGCATGAACATTAACTCAATGAGAGTGAATGGATATGTAGAGTTAACAAAGAATGAAAGACAGATGAAAAAGGACATACCAAAAGATGGACAGCTTCATTGGCGTTCATGTTATGCAGTTTAGTCATTACACCATCGAAATAAATAAACAGTCCTTCACCAGTTTCATCTGCAACAGCAAGCTCCACTTGGTACCTAGCAGACAGATGGAATGTATTAACTATTAAATGTCACTTTGAGTTACAGGGAAAAGTGGAAAGTGAATGAATAAGCCGGAGATAATTATAACATACCGTAGAACACCAGTTGCGTTAGTATTGTTGCGTTTGAATTACACACGGTAACTTGCACCTCCAGCACTAAAACATAATAAATTTGGTAGATATACCTGGGAGGGAGCAGTGACTACAAAATCATTGAGTCCAGCTATGCTCAGGGACTCCACCTTAGCGTATCCTTTAAGCAGTGGGGCTGCTGGTGTAAGCCAGTATCTCGTGAGTCCATTCTGCAAAATATTTACACAATAAGATTCACAGAGAGCCAGTGCATGTATAAGTTAACGACACACAAATACTTACCTGTAAAATTCGCTCTCCCCAGCAGCTGTTTCCTTGTCAAAGTAAATGTGTGTGCCGGAGGTGTCATTCAGAAACAGACGACCTATGAAATGAATAGAGTGTGAATGCGCTGAACATGACTACACAACTAAGAACATAAGCTTCAGTATGGTTCATTACCTCCCACCATCCTGGGGTTGATTGTGGATCTTAACAACCTGAGCGTCGAAGAGACTCATAGTCACAGTCTGATTATTGATAACACGCGAGGAGAAGAAAGGTGAATAATGCAGTTATTATGTCCAAACAATGAACCAGACGGGAGAAGTTTAGATAACTTACTTGTCCATCTTAATGGTTGCCATAACACGATTCTTGTTCTCAGGAGGGTCAGTGACAGTACTCTTTACAGCAGTTATTTCACGAATAATGTCTGCCGTAAGAAGATCATAACAAATAAGATTCACACAAATTGTGTGTTCCAAAAGTACAAAAGAGATAATTGTAGCACTACCTGGAAGCTGAATGTTTGTGTTGGCAATACCAAGCATCTCACTGTGATTACGGAAACGGAAAGACTCCAAACAAACCGAGTACTCAGCATCTCACGACAGGCTTTGTGACCTCGGTGAAGGAGGTTGAGTCGCTAAAACGGATTAACAGTGAAGAGTCAGATAACTGGTAGTTTTGGTTACATCTGGTAACATCAAACCCGATTAAGGAATAGACTTATCACGCTTTCAGATGAGGACTGTGTGGCGAGCCGATTGACGTTCACGGTGGCCAGAATAGATGTGAGTTAGGTACGACAACCATTAATGTATGCCGAAATCCCATTAACCTATGCAGAAGGGGTGAGTGGAAAATAGATTTTTGAAAAAGATGTGACAAAAACAATTTTTTAAAATTACTTTGTAAAATAGATTCATCACGGCGAGAAGGTATCAATAATCGACCAGTTTAATCTCTCTATTTATGATCCAGCGGGCGAGTTTAAGAAGATATCTCTATATTTATTAACCAACGGCGGAGTTTAAAAGGTACCTGATATCACTCAAATTACCTTAAGGAGTGAATTACTCTCTCAAACAAGAGGTTCAGTTGTAGTACTTAGGGATCGAATCCACAAGGAACTAAGGAACACAAAAGATATAATCCTTAGTGATTATGGTAGGTTGATTAAGTTTAAAATTAAATTGCAGTTGTGAGCAATGGTAAGTTGCTCAAGAAAATTGGTTTAGATTTTAAACAATAAGAGAAAGTAGTTAGATTCAAGGTTGCTATTCAAATAATCAGGATTATAATGCTACAGATGTCTTAATAAGTTGCTTGCAAGATATTAAAGAACTTCAACTCTTAGATAAGTCTATTAGCAATCGCTATCTAGACTCGTCCATTGATTTAACTGCCGGCAATATCGACCGATGTTTTGATAGCGATATCAGACGATATAGGTTGCCGTGGATCGATTACTATATAGGAGTATTGATCGAAATAGCTTCAGATCGAATTGAATATGTGTTCACCAAGATCATAGACCGGGTCTCGTTCGTCCCTAGATGATCTCAGCTTATGCCAAATGATTTCAGGATAATGATTAACAAGTTAAGTCATTCCAGGATCATACTCTAGTTAGCTACTCTAGAGTAAGCATTAGGGTTTATCAGGATAATGAATATCACAACTCAACAATCCATAGTTGGGACTAATCCCTCATAACTATTTGAACCCCAAATCTAACAAGTGAATCTACTCAGACATGGCTAAGTGATTCATAGCATCAAGGTAATAATAGAAATTCATAAGATTAGAAGATTGAACACTTGGTTCCTTTGAACAACAAATCTCTTTGTATATTCTTCTAAATCTAGAACTCTATAACCTTTGATGAAAATGAGAATAAGATGAAAAGAATAATTTTATTAATGAAAGCACTAAGAGTATTAAAAATCACACTAAGAATCAAAAGCATATCGTGCCAAAACACATAGGCATAACTACAAATATGAGTTCAATTAGGTTAAAAACTTGTTAGGGGCAATCTTGTAATATTGAGAGAACTTGGGCTTCAAGTAGGCTGACTCAAACTTATTCTTCACCCTCGATATCGATTGATGGAGTATCTCGATTCGTCATCTTCTACGGAAGCGTCGTCGATCGATTACACAGGATGTGTATCGATCGATATGTATCTCTGGATATCGACCTTGTTGTCTGATCTTCATAGTTATCTCGGGAAAACTCTACTTTAAGCTCCATAAGGGCACCTAATAGACTCCAAAACAAATATATATATATATATATATATATACATATATATTGTAAAATCATCTCAATACCATGGTTAAAAGTGGGTCAAAACCATGGTAGATCAACTCCCCCAGACTTAACCTTTTGCTTGTCCTCAAGCAAACACAATAGTTAGTCTTTGGAAGAAGTTTAAAAAAACAGCAGGGACTCAATCAAATCTTAACTTAAGATCATCACCTCTACTTTGTTGCAAGCCACATCTCATATCTAGTAACTACAGAAGTACATTATACCATATCCTAGCTTAGCAACCAAATTCATCTAGTCAATCAACTTAGCAATCCTGTTTGTCTATCCCTTCTACTGATTTCATTTATGCATAAAATAAAAGTGTAGGCTTTACCTTGGGAGTACCGATAAAGGAATACTTGGATTCAACTCAAACAAGTTTCAGGTATTCTCATTCTGGTTTCTTTTCTCCCTGTATCTCCCTTCTCTGAATCCCAAATTTTTCTTTTTCTTTTATATCAATCCAAATGAACAACAAATGTTCACCTTATTGATCTTTTTACTTTTTGTAGCCTTTTCTGACAAATTGTAGGCAATTAGTGGGGTCATGGGTAATTTACCTCTCCCTCGCTTTCACAATGTGTGATCATTCCTTTAAATTAGAATAGTGGGAGTCATGGGTAATCTACCTCTCCCTCTGCCTCTCAGGAAATCATCTGAATCTTTTTTTCTTTTTTGGAATGCCAAAGGAAGGAGAGAAGGAAACCAAAATTATCAAGACTTTTACCTTCCAGACTTGTAGGAGGATTCTGATCACTTGTATACCAAGCCCCAAGACAAGCAATAGATGTCATGTTAGGTTGGAAATCAGCTTTGGTTTTTCCAAACATTCATGAAAAGTGTTGTCATAGGTGACCGGTGATCCACTTTAGCATCTATAGTACTTTCTTCAATCACCAATTCTAAGAATGGTTAGATAAAAAGTAAAAAAATTGAAATATCTTTGTCCCCTTATTGACTCAATAAAACCAATTTTGAAAACATTTAATGAGACCAAAAGGTAAAGTAGCATCAGTGATCTCCACTCCCCCAGACTTAAATCATACACTGTCCTCAGTGTATAACTAGTCGGAGTTAGGGGATAAATAAATAATGTATAACTGATATCAAAAATTGTGAACGATATACATGACCGGAATTCGTATCGATCGATGGTGAGTCGCCTTCGTCGATCGTCATGGATAGGTCTATGTCAAGCGATGTCGACATGATCGTATCGGTCGATAGAGGTAGTGATCGTGTAGCATCTCTTCTGAAACTAATAAAACGAAAGTAAAAACTGAAAATAATATAAAACTAAGTAAGAAAATACCTAATAGTGGGTTGCCTCCCACTCAGCACTTAGTTAAAGTCATTTAGCTTGACTATGGAGGTATGGTGGCTAGTGAGGTGAGTTGCAGGTACTTGTTGGGAAAAAAGTATCCTCCTTGTCTTGTGATTCTCCAAACCATGAAGTTAAGAAGCTTCTTGTGGCTTCCTCTCTTCTGGTCATACTAGCTTTCAACCCTTGGACCTCATCTTGGATTCTTTGTAGCCACTCCTCAAGGCTCGAAATGCTGAACTCATGTTGTCCAATCTTTCTGTAGGTTTGTTCTAGATCAATACTCAGCTGCATGGTGTCGAGGTGTTGGATGGTTTTCACACGGGAAGAGGTATTATCACCCGATCTTTGTGTAGTTTTGTCGGTGGATTGGAAAGGATGTCTATCGGTCGATGGGCTGAATGGCACGTCGATCGATGCGGATGGTGCATGTCGGTTTGTGAGCTGTTTCAGAATGTTTTCGATCTCCTTCTGAATTCCTTCTGTTGTGAATTCCAATCCTTGAACGTCACTCTGTACTGGGAACCACATCTTGTCGAGTAATCTGTATGCTTCGTCTCTACAAGCTTAAATACCTTTGTAGATATCTCCTGTTATTTCCTCAAGTTCTTCTCTGGTACAAAACTCTGGTGCTCTAATATTGGTCGATGTGCTGGGTAGGTCATCGATCGATAGCGCCTGTAGGTGACTCTCGATAGGCTTGTCTATGGTGGTATCCATAGTTCTCCATATGTTGTTCACTCGATGCATGATGCTGTTGCTGAGGTGTAAGCATTTGTCTTCCAAGGCTTTATTGTTGCATTCGTCTGCTTTTCCTAGATCGATGTAGATGGTGTTGATAAGCTCGTCAATCTCTTGTTTGGTGTAAGGGATCGTTGGTGAAGAACTCGTATCGATTGATGCTGTTGTGGATGTATCGGTCGATATCTGTTTCTGAGATTCCAGTTCTTCGCAAAGTGCATTCACTTCTTCTTGCAGAGCGTCCCTCTTTTTGCGAACTAATTCATTGGCAGTTTGAAGCCAATGTATTTCTCCTTGAAGTGATGCTTCGGTTCTTTCATGTTCAAACTTCAGTGGTTCCTTTTCCCAGCTATGTTCACCAACTCTTCCATTGATCATGTGCGTGACCTCTGCTTGTGTGTAGAGCTTGCAAACTGGAACTCCTTTAGAAAACTGTTCAGCGTGTTCTGGTAAACAGAAACAAGAGTGCTCCATCATTGAGGCGCTATTCAGAAATTTCCCATATCTTCTTTGGAAACATGGATGATATCTCCATCTACTCCTCTTCCGAAACCATACTCATCTCTGTAGATTCCATATTCGTCTTTCTTTTCCCACAAGAATCGGCGAATCCCAAATTTGAAAGCTCGTTTCCCAAATTCCCTACGTATATCGTTCGATGTAAGTCTCCACGTATCGATCGATGCTTGTTGAAATTCTGGATATGCTGAGTTGAGATGAATGTTTTCTGCACCATCTTGCTTGTCTGAGGTATCTTGAATTGTTTGTTGCTGGTGCTGATCTTTCGTATAGATGGGTTGCTGTGCGAAGGGGCTGACTGATCCATTGGTTATCTAAAGAATGTCTGCAATGTCTTCTTTGGAGATTCTAACTAACTATATATGTTTATTTTTTTGCATGTACCTATTTAGAACTAAATCTATAACAACGTTCGTTCCCTAAACTAAATTTACCTAAGAAGAGTATGATTGTTCCTAAAATGTTTGTTTTTGTTTTTTTTTTTTTGCAGTGTTCTCGTACAGTTAATACATGCAAATACTGTAAATCTTACAATATTTACTATGAGAATGTTGATTTTTCAGACATTGTTATTAGTTTGTTTTGCAAGTCCTACATTGTTAATAATGATAAGGGTTTGTTAGGTTTTGAGTTAGGACTTAATCGATGACTTTTTTTTTACAATAATAACTGTTAAACTGGCAAATTTATTGGCTTTGTACAATATTTATTGAAAATTTGTTCATTTAATGTGCTTACTTTTTTATTTGTTCTTTACATTGTTTTATCAGAAGAACTTGGATGTTATGATTGACCCATGTTCCGAAAAATTTTAAACTGTTATATAATTCTTATAGAGAATTCAGGCAAAAAAACACGAACTTTACACGAATTTCCAAATAAAATCTGAACTCGAAGTTGACCAAAAAATATTGTACATTCTTTGAATTTTTAATTTTATTTGAGAACTTATAATTGAATCGCCATTTTAGCACACCATGAATCTTATAGTGTAGACGCTGTTATTTTAACGTTAAATATCAACGTTAACTGAAACGACGTCGTTTTGGTTAACTGAAACGACGTCGTTTTGTGTTCTTTTAAAATGAAAAACATGTCTATTTCAGGACACAAACTTAAGAACTCTAAGCCAAACAACATAGTGTTTTACCACTAAGCTAACACCACTTTTGATGGAATCTCTAACATATTTCATTTTAGTGAGTATCCAAAAAATCTTTAAATTTTACAAAATTCAAAAATCAAGAAAATTCTGAAAATATTAAAACAAAAAAGTAAATTACAAATAACATATAATTTTTTCGCTAAAATTAATTTTAAAAATCAGAAAATCTAAAAAATCCAAAAATGCGAAAAACTAATGATTAAAAAGATGATAAGAAAAACTTATGATTTAAATAATTAATTTTTTATCAAAATTAATGTATCTAAGATCATTTCTGTATTTTATCTTAAATACATTAATCATACGAAATATATAGTGTGATAAATATATTTTTTTATATTATCTTACATGCATTCATTTATAAAAGCATCCATTAAAACTTATTATTTAGTCTTTGCATTTTGTCGTTTTATCAAAGTTTTAACATCGAAGCTCACATCAAATGTCCTTCTATTTTTGGGAACTCGACATTTAATAGCTAGAAAATATTATTATCGTTTAGACCACTAAGCCACTCTAACAAAAATCGTCACAATCAACTAATCTAATCCTAAAATATTACATAATAAGTGTGGTATATTTTAGGATTAGATTAGTTGATTGTGACGCTTTTTGTTAGAGTGGCTTAGTGGTCTAGGCGATAATAATATTTTCTAGCTATTAAGTGTCGAGTCCCCAAAAATAGAAGGACATTTGATGTGAGCTTCAATGTTAAAACTTTGATTAAACGAAAAAACGCAAAGACTAAATAATAAGTTTTAATGGATGCTTGTGTGTGCCTTGTTGAAAAAGTAAAATTTTTTTAAAATATATATATATTTTATTCGGCTGAGTAATCATGAAACCGTAGAGGAACGTTGCCACTAACAGAATTATTTCAAAGAGTAAACAAAGTTTGAGATTGCCAAATATTTGAAATTGATAGTTATTAAATTGAAAATCGATGCAAACTATGGTGATTGATCTGAAAAAGTAATAAGGAGCACGACTTGAGTGAAGGCTTGACCCGCCTTAAACTACTTCGTTTGAAGGAAATACAGGAAACTTGCTATCTGTTTATATTAAAAACAACAGATTGTGCATGGCTTTTCAAGAGTTTTGATTTCACACCTTCTCGGTACGTGGCATGATCAGGATCATGTTTGTCCCGTACTCAGATCTGCTCGGAATATATACGTCGCGTAAATGATGTGCTTCACTTGATCCCAGCATTTGTTCACTTTTGTTAGATCCTTCTCCATTAAAGACGATCCATATACCTCATACCTTCGGTAGGCTTGCCAGTGGACAACAAAAGAATAGCATATAAGTAGATAGCTTGACGGCAGTTGTTGTATGCGTAGGTCCTGAGATGCTTAAGTCCCTTTTTGTTGTTTTTGTAACCAAAATATTGGTTAATCCGTTCCACGTAATGTGCATATCCGTTCTTATGCTTCAAGCAGACCTCCATGATTTCTTGGTAACGCCCGATGGTTCGGTATGAATTTTTTTGTCAGCTGACAGAGCCGAGCAGACTTGAACGTGGCACTGGTTTCCTTATGACTCGATTTGTAGTAAGGACTGGGACTCCTGAAAACGTCATCTGTCGTGAACTCACCGGCATGCCTAAGAATCTTCACGGCGGTCCTTATGTGGATTGGTCTGACGGTAGGGATTGGAATATGTTGTGACATTCCTACAGTTGTGTGCTCTGTGATTTAGATATATGATGAACTTTAGGTAAACTTCAGTTTATATAGGAGTGGATGTTTAGGGTAGCCTAAATAATGAGGAGCTACGTCTCTCTAGATTTCCAGTCTCTTAGTGGAGAATGAAGGTGTTTTATTATTCATTTAAAGATGTCATGATTAGTGGTTCATATTTTAATATTTTTTGTTCTATTATGTGTTGTTTTTGTTTTAATATTTGTGTATAAATTTTACACAATTTTATTCAACGTAATTTGTTTGGTTTTATTTGATGAGACGTGTGGTATTATTGGTATAGTTGCTGTTTATACGATGTAATATATTTGTGTTGGTAAAGCATTCTTTGATTGATTGGTTGTAGTGTGGATTTGTGTACTCAGGTCCAGCTCAAAGCATAGGCAAAGGAAGCCTTTGCTTAGGGCCCAAAAAATTTTCAGGCCTAAACTAAAAAAAAAAAAAAAAAATTATGAAGGGACAAGGACCCATTTTTTGAATTCGAATTGGGTCTCCGGTGGGTATGGGCCGGCCCTGTGTATACCATGGTCTATTACACTGTTATTTTAGTCGGTTACGTTCAATCTTAGCGAAGCGTAATTTGGAATACGTGGTCTTATTAAATTATTTTAATGTAAGTTATTTATTATTAGTTCATAGCAATAGTAAATCTCCAACTTTTTGCCTTCTTAATCAGGTCTCTTCTCTTATTGAACATTAGACTCTGTTATTATTTATTATAATGGTTTTATATTGGTAAGTGCTAATTTCTTTTTAAGAAAAATGTACAGCTTATTTGAATTAAAGAGGTACATTTGCTCAGTGGAAGTATGTTTACACTATGTACTGTTGTGTTAATATATTTAGTATTAATAATAATAGTTAGAGATGTGCATGAATTCTATAATTCTTCACAATTTCTAATCGTGTCAACTTATGGCGTTTTACTTATAACATGTTCTCATCAAAACCGAGTTTGTTTCGTTCCTATGACATTTTGAAATAGTATATAACTGTTAGTAATTTGTATTAAGGTGTGATATTCTGTTAAGTGTCGTCTAACTTATTGGGTTTCTTAATTGTTTTATTCCGTATGGCAAAGGTTTCACCAATCCGTTTTTGTAAAAGGGATTTACATGTCTTGTCTCGTGATCAAAATTACCTTTTTTAGTTTTAATAGGCTGAACCGTAATCTGTTGCGGTATATAAGTCCGGTTGCCTCTCTTAATATCCTTTTTCACAACAGAGAGGACCACAAGCTAAAGTACCGGATAGTGACACTGTAATGTAATGTAGTATTTATGTAATACTGCAGTGGAAGTAATACTGCAGTCATTTTTACTGCTAAATAATAACTTTGAAAGCAAGTATACTAAAATATTAAGATTACTCGTTATGTTGGGTTATTTGGTTACGTTAGTTTTGTTTTCCTTAGGAGTACCATCTCTGCGAATTACACAGTATTATTACCTTACAAATATAAAGACCGAAGTGAAGTTATTGGTTGGATTCTGTTTAACAACTATTTATCCTTTTGGTGTTATAAATTCTCTGCGATACAATGAGCATTTAAATAGGCGTTTATCTAGAATATATAAATAACATTAGTGTTAAGATTGTAGAACAAAAGAAAAACCGAAGAACATTGACGGTGTGGCGCGTTTCTGAAGGAACTCAGCTCCACTCTGTAATGCGACAAATTGGTGTATTAAAAAGACGTTTTCAACTGGAAGCCAACTGGTTCTTCACTGAGATCAATGATGGTGGTCAGTTATGTAAGCGTAGAAGATTAGTATAGGAAACAAATGTGGAGTGCAAACCTGAGTTACGCTGAGGTCTTTGAAGATCTCTTTGTAGATGATATTAGCCCCACCTTAGTCTACACTCTCAGCAGTGGTGCCGCCGGTGGAAGACCAGTGTCTCTGGCGACCAACCTATATATATAAATGGATGCAGTGTTATTTAAAGCAACAGTGTGCATGTACCAATGTAAACCAACTTGATCCTGAAGCTGCTGCTCGGCTTCGCTCTCCCGTCAACTCGGGACGTATTTGGCATGTTGGTGACTCTTTTGAGGAGCTTGATGTTTTGGATCTCGACAGTTCCGGAAATAGCAGAGGCAAGTCTCTCGAAAGTGACAAGGCTAGAGCTAATCCGATGGATCTGGAGGGTGACCAGGACGCGAGTCAGCAAGCCATGAGTCGTCCAACTTCATCGACAAATGCTTCCCGGGCTCGAGAGACGGATACTCGCGATGATGGCGATAATGCCGTGATTATTAAACAGTGATTGTTTTGTTATAATGAATTTTCTCTTTTTTTTTTGTTCACTCTGTCGGTGGAATTATTTCCGGCTTTTGATTCCATAGTTGTATGAACCTTTAAAACTATTTCGATATTTGCCTCAGGGGTTTTTGTCCTTTTATGAACCTTGGACTCGGTTGAAAATTTGCCTTGGCATATTTTGGTTGAGTTTTTGAGTTTTAGTTAATATCTCCAGGCGAGTGTTCCTCTCGGGATTCTTAAATTAAAAAGGGCTTATCAGAGTTCGTTGATCTCCAAAGTAACTCTCGTCGTAAACTTAAAACTCTTATTTAGGCCGTTGCTCGGGATAAAGGTGTTGTTATCCGAATTCAACCGGTTCATCTCGTGTGCGTTCTGCTCATCGATTAGGCATGACCTCGACTGTGCAGTATCGTAGAGATTATATTTTGACTTAGGCCGACAAGGATTTTGAGTTGTCGCGAAGTAATTCTGTAGAGCTTAGGTCGGCCGATCCCTACTCTAAGAATCATCACTGAACCGAACTTGATCATCTCTTCGTTAGTCGGAGTTGATCGCGACTCACAAAGTTCGTCGAATATACCTGATCAAGGCATTTTCAACGAGTTGTGCGAGTGCCAATACATGATCCGCGGTTCCCTCTCGTACTGGGAAGCTGGGGTGTAGGCATCGTAATGGTATTCTTTTTGAGTTATAGCTGGACCGGTTATGGCTGCCTATGTACCTCGGAAGTGGATCAAGCCATCTGTAGTTCGTTATTGCCGAGCGCATTTACTCGTTTTGTTTTGGGTTATAGCTAGACCGTTTAAGGCTTCCTACGTAGCCAGAGGATCAAGCCATTCGTAGTTCGATTGGCCGAGTGGAAGACTGCGAGGAAGTCTACTCGGTGAGCTAGAGTGATAAGGAGTCACTAGCTCGGTTTTTTTTTTAGTGGAAGGAAGGGCGGGTTTTGCTCATGCGGCGTAGTAGCGCCTGAGATGCATCGAGTTCCAAGCACACGGCACTTGCTCGCCGGTTAAAGTTTCCAAGTGATAGACGCCGGGTTTAACGACTTTGATTATTTTGTATGGGCCTTCCAAATTGGCGCCAAGTTTGCATGCGTTCGGTTCCTTCGTGTTGTTAAAGACTTTGCGTAAAACTAAGTCCCCCAACTCCGATGGTCGGGACCAAACCTTTCTGTTGTAGTAGTTCTCGATCTGGTGTTGGTAGTTCTGGATGCAAAGTAAGGCTTGGTCGCGTCTTTCCTCGATAGCATCGAGAGCATCGAGTAGCATCTCACTGTTAAGCTCGACGTGTTCCGACATCCTTGATCGTCGTAGACTGGTGACGTTTACTTCGGCTGGTGTCATGGCTTTGACTCCGTAAGCGAGAGAGAATGGTGTTACTTAGGTAGCTCCTCGTGGCGTCATTCGATGCGACCAAAAGACTCCGTCTAGTTCATCGGCCCATCAACCCTTCTTCAAGTCGATGATCGTCTTGTTTCCGTCGATGATCGTCTTGTTCGAGGACTCGGCTTGACCGTTGCTTTGCGGGTAGCTAGGAGTAGACATGTTTAGTCGGATCCTCCATTTGTTGCAAAATTCGCGAAAACTTTGCGCAATGAACTGGGAACCACTGTCCATGACGATTTCATAAGAGAGCCCATGGCGACATATAATGTTCTTCCAGACAAACTTCTGGACTTCTCTTTCGGTGATCGATGCGTAAGACTCAGCCTCGATCCACTTCGTGAAATAGTCGGTAAGAACTAGGATGTAACACTTCTGTCGGGATTGGGGCATTGGTCCGATCATGTCCATCGCCCATCGCATGACTGGGTAAGGGGCAGTCATCGTTCGCAGTGCTTTGGTTGGGCAGTGGATCGTTGAGGCGTGTCATTGACACTTATCGCATTGTCGTGCAAACATCTCGCAGTCGCTAATCATAGTTGGCCAGTAAAAGCCCAAGCCTTTTACTTTCAAAGCAAGTGCTCGTCCGCCCGAGTGGTTTCCTCCGGCTCCTTCGTGCGTCGCGGCCATGACGAGATACGTCTCTTCGCTGTTGATGCATCGAAGGAGAACTTTGTTCGCTGTCCACCTATGGAGTACACCATCGGTGACGATGTAATTTGAACTGCGCGCCTTGAGTCATCGTGCTTTCCACTTTTCCGTAGGAAGTTTTCCGTGGGCGAGGAAATCAATCAACTTTACTAGGACGAGTTTTCCTCGTTATTTCCTAGTAAATGACCGTTTACTAGGAACTTACGAGGAAACGCGTTTCGTCGAAACATGTTCATCGTAAAGCCTTTTTCCTCGTAAGGTCCTAGCTATTTTACGAGGAAACTTTTCCTCGTAAACGCGTGGATAACTTTTCCTCGTAAGGTCCTCGTAGTGTTTCCTCGTAAAGTCATAATAAATTATTTCCTCGTAAGCTCGTAGTAATACATTACGAGAAACTTACTAGAATACTTTACGAGGACATTACTTCGAATCCTTTACGAGGATTTT